GATTTCTCCCATTGTTTTGTTGACAGACAAATAATAGCGCATAGCGCAGTAGTGTGTCATCGTCGCAGTCGCAGATGCATGTCTGTATAACAACGTGTGTCGGGCGGCTTGTGTAACACAATCTTAATAATTCATTTCCTAGACATGGCATTGATATTAAGCAATTGATTGCGATTATATCTTACCTTCTTAGCGTACTGGATTGTAACATTGTTTCGTAGCTGCTGAAGTGAATCATAAGAGTATCAGAATGTGGATGTGTGTATATATCGATGGTAGTGGATCTAAAAACTAAGATATAGAAGGACGTTAAAAGTTATACGAAGAAAAACGAAAAATGGACGATCTGAAAGACGAAAACTTTGTGAGTTCTGGCCCTATATACTCGTAGAGTGGGACCCACATAGGTAGGTAGAACTAAGAAAAAATCATTTAGGCTTAAAAATTACTATCAATTTATCAGATCGTAAATCTGTGCGAGCTCTCAGCGGCGGCAATCTCCGGCTACGATCCATAGACAAGGCGAATGTTTCGCAACAATCCGTCATAGAGGTCGAGCACCGAATTATCCTGCAGTCGCATCGCGCCATAGACAATCCAAACAAAGGCCTATTGCGTCGTAAAGTCTCGCAACTCGCGCGAAGAATGAACAGTTCAATCGTCCCTAACTCGAAGAGCGAAATAATAAAATGTGCGAAAGCGACCGCCGACCGCGGCGAATACAATGTGCCGTTTAGCGTTTGTCAATTTGAAAGTAAAATTTTCGATGCTACCGTGTCGCAAGGCAACATAGTAGGTGTTGTAGCGGAGAGGAGCACAATGCGCCATACGTCACTCGGCGGCGGGACACATCGCTTAGCGCGCGTGATTTGTGGCGGTCGTAACCCGGGCCGTTAGCGCGGCCCCGGCGCGGGACCTCCGGCCGGCATGCACTTCTCATATCTACCCATTGTCGGGACACGAGCTCGTAACCGCTCACAAGGATCATTGTACTACTTTATTAAATATTGCAACTTTACAACTATGTATTTATTACAAATGAATACTTATAGCTTGAGAGGTAACATGTTTCTGAGAACCGTTTTGAAACAAATAAGTATTAAAGAGTACTGGATGGCATAAATGAAACAAATGCAAACGCCCTATGATTGCAGACGTCAGTAATATTTGCTGACTTGAAACACTGCCGCTACACAAATACATCGGATTAAATCTCATTTTACCCCAGAACAATGGAACAATCTCGAAAAGTTTCCACCGAAACATAAGTTACTATAGCACGCGGCCTCCCCCACCTGTAACCACACCCTCTCAAGATTTTATATGATCCAAACAAAGATAGAGCTGCCTCTGAACGTCGGCCCCCCCCTATCGATCGCGGCAGCCTCCCACCTCCCGGGGAGGGTATAGAGAACAGAAGGCTTCGCGGGTGATCGCGCGATACTAGCATGACACCCGCGGCAGAGCCCTACGTGCGCCACCCGCCTGGACACACACTGCCTGCGCAATTTATTTACACCGCCTTTTCATTTATATTTCTATTTAAGACAAGCTACATCTACAAAAATTTTGTATTACCTATTTTCAATGTATTTTGTAGGTACACTGGGGTTAGTTAATGCTAAGTTCCAAGTCCCTACTGCATTTGAAAACTTTATTTAAATAAGGAATATAATAACAATTACTTTTTAAACAGTTTTTTTTCAATTTCCAAACGGCGACAATTTACAAATGGTCTCACATAATCTTCCACTTCATAATTGTTTTTTTTTCACGTGTGTGGCGTCATTAAAAATAGATTATCGCGCCCCAGCGCTTGTCTACTGTCAGACGTATGACAGGAACTTGTCAGTATTGTGAGAGGTTACGACGCGGGAAGTTTCCACTGTGAGGCTGCAGCTCGCCGCTGCCGGCGCTGACTTGGACGCGGGCTCCAGACCCACTGCCATCGAGACTTACTTTCCAATAAAGATTAGTTATATGATTGCTTATATTTCAGAGATGCGATGTCAGCATATTGATAATTGTAACTGGTATTTATGAAGTAGTTTTAAATCGTAGAGCGTAATTTTAATTTGGTTGAATTGCCGTAAATAACACAGTACAACTTCAGGATTTTAACAACTGCAATGAAACTAAACAAAAGAGAGCAACTCAGTTACAGCCTAAAGTAATTAGGTACGCTGACTTAATTTTATAAAAATAATGATTTTATTTGAATTGTAAACAAGTCTTAATATTAATAAGCTGGTATAAAGTTGTTTTAAAGCAGGGAAACAAAGCAGGAATTAATTCCGCGAAAGTCCGTAAGTAGATTTAGCTTGCAGATGGAGTAATCAAGTCGAAAGCCGGATAAGCGCCGCCCGCGGAGTCCCCCCCGGGCCTCCGCCCGCAGAACCTCCGCCCGGGAAAAATGCAAATAGACTACGACCGGGAAACAAGACAAAAGTCGACAATGCCTCACATACCCATTACGTGTAGCTGAACAATCGCTATCATGCTATATTGAAAAAGAAATGTTATTTTTTTAGCAGTTAAATTACACAGCATATATACCATATTTAATAGATTAGTAATTATTTTACTACTTACGTGCTCAGGATATTAAAAAAAACTTACGAACAATCAAAAGCCTGAAAAGTTAGCCTATTGCTCTGATCTAATGCAGAGCTTCGGAAGACAAATTTCTCGTAGATAAATATTAAACATATTAGAATAGGAGGCAGTAGGATAAGAAAAATGCGAATAAAAAGGTGATAATAGTTTGCTGTGATGAATGAATGTGACGAACACGAAATAAGTGATTTTTGCGAATATGGAATTTAATCATTTTTATAATCCATATTTGAGCAACCAGAAGCTAAGCTTTAGTTGTTCAGTAGTTAGTGTCTAAATAGTAATTAGCTAAATTCGTAACACGAGTAGGTAGGAAATAATTAGCAGCAAAACTGTTTTAGTTGCACTCAACATGTTAATTATCTGTGATTTGCCTAAACAGAAGTCCACGTTGTTTTATAATCAAATAAATCAGTACCTATTGCTGTAACTCTACACAAATAACTTACAATTAGGATTTAACAAATTTAAGTATAAAATGAAAGTGACATTTTTGTCAAAATGCATAGCTGTTTCCGTGCGGCTTCATTTGTCAAATTCTCAATGGCATATGTCAAAATTACCTTTACCATAATAACCTTTCCCTAATGTTGGCAGCTTGTAGTTTATGATCCCTTTCCCATGTGAAGGTTTTTATCCAATTCATTTGCCCCCTAAGTTTGATAGCGTGAAAATATACGAGTATAGTCTAAAGCGTGACGTAAGTGTTGGGCTTTTTACTAAAAAAAAAATCATTCTAAAACATGCTGTAATTGATGTCATCTTCCGCCACAAAGTAGTGTGTGTTTACGCTTTATTATATTAAGTATAGATATTTCCACATTGATACACAAAGAAACGAAAAAAGACAAAAAAAATATTATTAAATTAATTATTCGTGTGCACGCAAAAATATACTAGAAAATAAACTGTTCATACATTTTTTAATGTTTGAACATTTTTAAATATTGCCTTGTTTAGATTATTAAATAAACTATTTTATAATATAAAATCCAGTTAGTATTTGTCGGAGTCTTTGGTTAATCGTTATAAATAAATAGAGATAATTACGAAATATGTTTCCTACAACTACAATAGTTCAAAGAATTAAATCAACAAACAGCTATAAACAAGGCTCGACGACACCCAAGCGCAGACGTGCGCGCCGTCGGCCGTGGCCGTGTGCTGCGCAAGCGCACAGTTTGTTTGCAACTAAATTGTTACAAACGTTTTTAAGGTTTAACTATAGGACTCTTCTTACGATTTAGAAGTCTTCTTCCGGATTTTACGATTCTTGTCATAAAAAGAAACGAAGAGAGACATTATTATTGCGTAGTCTACCAGAAAAAAGAATAGTAAATTAGTTTACTAGTAATGTAGAAATAAAGAAGTATGAATAAAATATGTCTATGCTATATCAATGAAATGTATGTGTAATGTCACAAAGGACCGGCAGAGTGTCAATGTGGTGTGGGCAGTGTAAGTGGCAGGACTGCGCTGCGCTGTGCTGTGCTGCGCTGCGCGGTGCACCTCACCACGTCCGTGGCGTTAATGACACGTCACGAAAATGGCCGTTTTGTGTGACAGCTGAATATTACTATGAATACACGTAATCTGCCTCCACACGGAGGGGCGGGGGCGGGGTGAGAGAGGGTGCGGGGTAGGGGCGCGCGGGCGGGACGGGGGCCGGCTAGCGTTACAGCCGCCTGGGTGTGGTTTGCCGTTCAATAACTTAATACTCTGGAAAGGCTTTCATGCTGAAATCTCGCCCCGGTGTAGCGCGACCGAACATTTTTGATCCGAACATTTTTTATGTTTTTCTTTTCTATTGACAATTTAAAGCTGACGAAATTGGAGATTAATTTAATACTCCAACGACGTAAAGAGTAACTTAACAAAATCATAGTTTGTCAAAAGATTTATTCAACATATGAATTTCACGGGCAACGTAAAACTACGATGTTATATCTCCGTTATATCTCTGGTTACAGCTGCTATTGTCGTAATCATGAGTAGCAGTGCCGATAGAACACCACCAGCTTCAGGAGCCAGCGACAAGCGATGTTGTGAAGCCGAGCCGGTGGCGAGCGGGCATCGTCGGCAGCGCGTTGTAAGCTGGTAATTAGGCGTGCCGGGTCGCACACGCGCAAATAAAAGCATGTAATCCACCCGGATGAATATATGGCGGCTATTAATTGCAGGTTTGCAGGCGAGGCGAGGCGGGGTGTGCGTGACGGATCATGGCGGAGCGGGGCGCCGCGCGTTAAACGCGGCCGCGGGGTGGCGCGGGTGGCGCGGCGCTGGCGGGCGGGGCGAGCGGCGAGGGGCGGAGCGGCGGGCGGGGCGCTCGCGGCGATTGGCGGGGCGCGCGCGGGCCAATGGCGCGAGCGGCGAGCGGCGAGCGCGGCGCGCCGGCACACTCGCTCCGATGCGCGGCTGGGACGAGTGCACGACGGCAGCGCTGCACGCGCGCATCCTGGAGGCGCAGCGCGGGCCCGGCGCGGCCGAGGCGCCCGCCTGCGAGCCCGCGCTGGACCTGGCGGCACCGACGCCGCTGCTTCCGTTACCCACGCTATCGTTCAGCGCGGCGCAGGTGGCCACCGTTTGCGAGACGTTGGAGGAGAGTGGCGACGTGGAGCGTTTGGCGCGGTTCCTGTGGTCGCTGCCAGTTGCACATCCCAACGTGGCCGAGCTGGAGCGGTGCGAGGCTGTGCTGCGTGCGCGAGCCGTGGTCGCGTTCCACGCGGGGCGGCACCGCGAGCTGTACTCGATCCTTGAGCGGCATCGGTTCCAGCGATCGAGCCACGCCAAGCTGCAGGCGCTGTGGCTGGAGGCGCACTACCAGGAGGCGGAGCGGCTGCGCGGCCGGCCGTTGGGACCAGTGGACAAGTATCGCGTGCGAAAGAAGTTTCCGTTGCCGCGCACCATCTGGGACGGCGAGCAGAAGACGCACTGCTTTAAGGAGCGAACGCGGTCGCTGCTGCGCGAGTGGTACCTGCAGGACCCTTACCCGAACCCCACCAAGAAGCGGGAGTTGGCGGCGGCGACGGGCCTCACGCCCACGCAGGTCGGCAACTGGTTCAAGAATCGGCGGCAGCGGGATCGCGCCGCCGCCGCCAAGAACCGCTCCGCGTTGCTCGGACGCGGCTTCGCCTCCTCCTCCACCTACGACGAGGACTCGGCCGATTCCGAGATCAACGTGGACGAGGAGTAGCGGTGCGGTGTGTGGCGCGGGACGCTGTGGTTACGTTGCAATATGGACGAGCCCGTGGCGGCGTGAGTGTTGTGCGGGCGTGGTGAATCAGTTGCTCTAGGTTCTGTCGAGTGATAGTGAAGTTGGCACCGCCGTATCTGCGCTCACCAGGTATGTACTGTGCACAATGTAGTGGCCGAGGACGCTCGTCGCTGTCGAGTGCCGGCTAGACAAACATCCCCTCGCACATCCGAGCGACCGCGGCGGGCTAGCCGACGCTAGGCTAGGCTAGGCTATTTCCTTCTGTATAATTTATATTTGTTTATTTAAATACGCCTACTTAGGTTTAAGAATCTTGCGTGTGGTCTAGAACCGCTCTATATATCCTATTTTAGAAGTAAATGAAGAATTTATTTATCATATCAGCTTTTATTTGTGTACATTGGTAGGGAGTATAGGTACTGTGTAGATATGACAGCATACGGCGTGTACCTGAGCAAAGCAGAGCACGGCGGCCGCTTCTCCTAAGTTATTTGTTCCGGGCGATGCTGACTGTTTTCTCTAAGTTATTTATTACAATAATCCACATAATAGTTTATCTCCGGCGCCGGCTGCAATGTGGTCAGTTAAATCCGCCTCACTTCACAACTTGCCGTATATTTGTAGGCCTATTTAAAACAATGATAAAACAAATCAAATTAGACTTTTGAAGTTTTATATCAGTTAGATTTAGTTATATTATTTCATTCTTGTCTGAATATTTCCTAAAACCTTGTTATAGTATTAGATAATGTTTTTTTTGGAACTTTTTTTAATAAACTGTAACAATGTTGTAAGTCTAATTATAACAATAATGCTCTGATAATTTACTTTGTGATAATTTTTAGCAGTAAACAGTTTTTTTAAACAGGGTTTTTATGTTAATGAAAGCTTATCTATTAAAATATCATTTTTTGGCATGAAATAAGAAAGTCGGTTTTGTAATATTAAAATTAGGAAAGCACAATTTCTAATTTTATCTAGGTAAATGGCATAAAGCTGTAAAAAGCAGTATTAGTGACCTAAAGATGTATTTAATTAAATTAATTATTTAAATATTAAATATGTATATGTTACTTATAGTTAAATAAGTGTCATTTTTATTCTACTTAAAAATTTTGTGTTGATTTATAATTTGAAACGACCACAAGTTGATGTTAAAAAATCAATAAACAAATAATAATAAAACTGTGACAAAAGTATCAAAACCATTAACACGGTGTCATTTTCTAACTGTTAATATTTTTAGGATCACAAATATATTTTTTGTTATAGTTTGTCTAAATAAGGATGACTAATTGAACAATTTATTTGACAATTTAATAGGGATGGGTTGTGTAAAATCAGAGATGAAATCTTTTGATTTTCGATTTTTACTCTCAAAGAAGTTGGAATCAAAAGATTCTTAGTTATAACTTATGGATCAAAATAAAAAAAATGCTGTTTTTTATATGGTTTTAAAGTCAAATCAATAATTAATTAATAAATAAATTAAAAGGCATTTTTTACTAACGCTGTCGTGCATAATCTAAGTGGAATTTGTTAATATTATTGTCATCGTTATCACTATTTTCACTACTAATATTGTCCCTTCACTTCATTAATAAGTAAATTATAAGTTTACTTAAATAATTTTTATGAACCGACTATCGATAGTTCACAGTTGTTATTTTCTGTCACTATGATCCCCTTCTAATAATTACGACATTTACCTTTATAAAATTTTATTCGATATTTTAAATGCGTGATTAATCAAACAAACAACCTTATTTAGACAATCTATAGGTACAGATAATAAATATTAGTTAATTTTAGTTATAATCTTGATTTTATCTGTACCTGTTAAAATAACAACATGAAATTCTAAACAGTATTGACGAAAACAATATTTCATAGACATCATTCACAATTTCAGACGTTTTTATTTATTTCAGCTTAAATTCAACGTCATTTCATCCCATAATGTATTTGAAAAAGTACATTTTAACATTCTGTAACTCACAACTTCATGGAACAGCTGAAGGTTCTTTTTAGTGTGAAACTTAACCACCATAAAACTAAATGTCAAATTTAACTTACGAGACATTAAAATAAACAAAATCGGTCTATCACCTATTTAAATTGCTGGATTTATTTGTCGCTATTTGAAATAATGAATTGTTACCGTGTTATTTTTTTTTGACAAATGATAAGGCTAAAAAACGCTGTCATATCAAAGTGAAATATCAAAATTTCCCGCTAAAAATGTTACAATAAATGTTATCATAACTATTCAAATTAAATATTACTATACTGTAATAAAAAAATAACTAACCACATTGCAGCGTTCGTTATAGATTGTCGTCTTTATATTTGGTAGGAAATATAAGAGAGTTTCTTACGTTATATGTTTATATGAGATGTGATTGTGATAGCGGCGGAGGTTTAGATATAGTATGCTATGTGGAATGTGGCTGAATGTGGCCGCAACTGGCCGCAACTGGCCGCAACTGGCCGCAACCAGTGCGCAGTGATTTTGTCCATTTAAATGTTTGTTCTGTATTTTCCTCTGAGAATCAATGAAAATGAACTAAAAATGGTATAGATTTAGCGCTAGGCTTAAGAATTGTAAAAATGTATAAACTAAAGCAAATTGTAAATATAATATCGACTTACACTCGTCAAAGTGAAATTGTTAATAAAATTATATTCGTAAACATGTCGCTTGTATCATTGGAGGCGCTGTCCCTTCGCTGCATGTCCCTACACATTACACATTACACATAACATATTACACATTACACATTACACATTACAATAATCCCTTTAAGTAGGTAAATTCTCACATAAATCACATGTAACAAAACTGTTTAATAATGTACTTTTGGTACAATACGTCGTTACAATACTATATAATACTTTGAAGAATTAAATCTTTGTGTTACACATCATAAACAATTCATAATTTATCTTTTCCAGTAATTCTTATTCTAGATTAAAAAAATCTTTTTATTAATCGACATATCAAAGATTTTAATAATTCTTTAAATTCTATCTTTTATTTCCTAACGAAATAAGTTTTCCAATACTGAAATTTACAATAAAATTTACTTTAGTTACTGTTTGTGCAAACACTTACAGGAAAAAAGGTTATTTTCTAAGTAAATTAATCTTCAATAACATATTAAAAAGATTAGTTACATTGTATATATCTATATCATGGGAAAAGATTCTTTCAGATATATGTTTGTATTAAACTCTAGGAAGACATAAAGAAGTATGGGCAATAATCGGAAGCGACACAAATATGCAACCGATCGTTTAAGAAACACAAATGTCATAATTATCGAACAAGAGTTCAAAAATATTTAATTTTCCTTATAACAACATGTTTAAAAAAATGTGCTCTTTCATGTTATGTAGGTTTATCAGGAAAGCTGATGAGGGAATAAAAAACACTTTTGATCTTAGCCTATTATTAAGTAATAAAATCTAGGACTATCTTAGGAAAACGACGCATTGATTTTGCATAAAATTGACCGTAGAAGGGAATAAAAACGGAGATCCCATTCCCTCCATATCTTGCGATGTTGGCAACCACCGTGGGATTTTAGTCGGTGCGAGTCCGACATATTCCGACTCTAGGTCATTTGGTAGGCATTTCCCCACTTAAAAAAAGGAAAGCAAGTAATACAATAAACATAGGAATATATAGAAGTTTCTCCAGTAAACGGCCATACTATCTGCGGGAAGCGGAGTGCGGAGTGCGGAGTGCAAGGCGCGGGGCGCGAGGGATGTGTACTTATTAGGCTCCTTGCTCTTAAGACCTCAACCTCGTGAGTTATTGAATAATGAGTTCCTAATAATTACATGCTTAAGGTAACGAGCGGCCCACGCTCGGACCTCTGTAGCCCGCGCGGCCCTCGCCGCCGCCGCCGCCACCACCTCTATAGTACAATGTCCGCAATTTTGTTTTTGCAAAGTTACGACCATTCTATCGCAATTAATTGAAAATTTTATCTAAGTGATAACATAGCTTTGTAACGGTAAAAGAATTTTTGAAATCGGTCCAGTAGTTTTTGAGTTATTTCAATACATACAAAAATACAAATATTTTCTCTTTATAATATTAGTATAGATTATTAAATTATTTCAGATTGTTAACTTCTTATTACAATTTATCTTTACAGTGCATCTAAAAATAATGATAAACAATAATTTCATAACAACAAAAACACTTTACACGAAGTGACTCTACCTTTGCTATCAACGTGGTTCCATAATGTGTGGCGCTATATTGCTTGCATCGTATCTATAATACATACATAGTTCATGTTTTGGTAATTCCCAACATCTCTGACATACAGTTTTTGCTAATATGTGTTCATCAGAAACGAGCCACTCACACCAAACAGCGGACCATTAACGCAAACTTTGACATTTAGTTGTGTTTTTTTCTATTGCAACCTGCAATAGCTTAAAGTTGTTAGACCACGTTTAGCAGCTTAACATTATCATAATAACATAAGTTAAATTAATGTAAACTTATTACTGCCAATAGTAGGAGCTTGTATTTCAAAACAAGATTCCGTTGCAAGTTAAAATTCAAGTAACAACGTTTTTAACTGAACATTCGCAAAGCTGATTACGACATCGAAATGCCTTGTTTTGTTCCACTTTTTATATAAGGGTATAATTTAGTCTAATTTGTGATTTAGCATATTTTTTGTTAAGTTTTTTGCGTAAGAAGTCCGCGACGCGACGTCGTCGGTACGAGGTGGGTTTGTACGCAAATTACTGAGTACAGTTTACTTGCAAGTGGGTCATTGTTTTTACTGCTTAATTAATGTATCGGGAGCGGGGGGCGGGGGGCGAGGGGCGGGGGCGGGGGCGCGGGGCATTAGATTAATTAACATGTCCGACCGCTGATTTGAATGTAATTCTAGACACCGCTGCGTGCGGTGCGGCGCGGTGCGGCGGGCCGGCGCAGCTTTGTGCCAATTGACTTCTATTCGTCTTGTCCTTTCGGTCAGCGGTCATTACGTATTGCTTAAAAGTTTCGATCATCCACCAATAAGTGTCATTTAAAAGTAATATAAATAATATTACGTCTTGAAAACTAAATTATCATTTATAAAATATTCTTTCAGTTAACTTATAAATTGTCTTTGAATTTTACTTACTTGTGTTGAATAAAAACTAGTCACTCGTGAAAACGCGGCACGTTGCACACTGTATGTAAATAGAATTCCAATTTTAAGTATAGTTATTAATAATAATATATTATTTATACAATAACAAGAATTACTGCAACAACGCGCATGTCAACTACGCCAAAACATATTAAAACAGATATAAATACTCGTATATCAGGATTACCATATAAAACATAATTTAATAATCTTCATTACAAATATATTACGAAGCTAATTACTAGGTCTGTAATAATATTATATTTAAGTACACACTTAATGTTGAACAACAGAGGAAACTAATGCGAAAGTACACTTGTGTCGAGTTGTAACAAGCCGGTAATTATAATTGGTCGTACAGCTCTAGTTGGGCTTACTGGAGTTAAGTAACTCGTTATTATGATCCACTGTTAAATATAACAAATGTTATGCACTTATTTATTAAAGCGTATAAAAGGTTTTGATAGAAAACTGTTTAGGAATTCATAGAAAATATGTAGTAGTAATAAACAATGATTCTAAAATTGACAGCAAATTAATAATGACTTTATTTTCAAAGGTTGCCATGTAAATCTTATTATCTTATTATCTATATCTATACTATTATAATAAAGCGTAAGCACACACTTCTTTTTTGCCTAATATGCCAGCAATTACAGCATATTTTTGAACTTTTATTAATAAAAAGCCCTACACTTACGTAACGCTTTAGGCTATATATTTTTACATCATTAAACTTAAGGGTAAATATTTTGGATAAAAACCCTAATGTGGGAAAGAGACCATAAGTTTCTGCCAACATTAAGAAAGCAAGATTGCCAAGTTTTGACAATTGCAATTGACAATTTGACACATGTAAAAAGAAATCGCACGGGAACAGCTAGTGATATTATAAATGCGAAAGTTTAGATAGTTGTATGGATGTTTGTTAGAATTTGGAGCCTAAACAGCTGAACGGATCTCGATGAAGATAAACGTAGGAGGTAGTCCGGAAGAACACATAGGCTACTCACTTTTGTTTTATTTAATTATACGCGGACGGAGTCGCAGGCAAAAGGTAATAAATAAATAAAGGACTGATAGTACACATGTATTGTCTTCACCTCGACATTGCATACCGCTGGACAATTAGTGTCATGTCACGGCAGACGCAGGGAACAAGAATATTTTAATTGTACCGGCCGCTGCAACAATTCGATAATTACTTTATTTTTGTTTATGGCGACACCGTCCGCCAACAGCCGCGTGTATAGCAAATAATTGTCACACGGAGGACAGCGTGGAAATTCTTTAAGAGTTCATTTTATTTCAATCTTGTTAAATTGTACTTTTTATTTTAATATAATCACTGCGTCTCACTGTCCTGTTAAAATTTAAATTATTTCTTGTCAATTCTACATGCATATCTCAATGTTGGCCTGCGTTTGTCGGAACACAAAACTTGCAAATGCAGATTTCTATATTAAAACTAATAATAATGCGTCGAAAGTAGGCAATGTTTATGTTTACAATACGTTAATGTCTAATTAATCGTTGCTCGTATCAATGTATAAATTGTTTGTATATTCTTTCCCAACTGATTACAGATTGAATATCATAATATCGTATCGTGATTCGTAACTTTTCATGCATAAAAACATACAATTAGGAGCTTTATTTTCATAGCCTTAAGCGTTATAACATTTTTAATAGATAAAAATATCAGAGACGTCAACGGCGAGACGAGCTGTCAAAATCGAACGCAATCGATTCAGTTTTTTTAGGCGAAGGTAAAAAAAAAGTAAAGCCGTGGATCGACATGTTAATTGCAAGTCAAATAAATTAACGCGTATATCGTTAGCTAATGAGCCTCTAACGGACAGACAGACGTGTTTAGTTCAATTTGTATATGTATAAGTCGTGTGATAAATATCATACACGAGAAACCTTTTTACTTTGACTTGTTACTGAAAATGTGTTGGCAGCTGTTATTGTTGCCTTGTACTCGTACAGATACGGCGTCTTAGTGCGAGGCGATATTTTAAAATTAAGCAACTAAAAGAGAAAGTAATATACACAAGTAGGGAAATAATTAATTTGTAGCCCAATAGTTTGGGAATAACCATAGTTGACTTCTAATGAAATGTAATCATTGAAATATTTCAGACTTAAAATTAAATTAAATATTACCATTCGGTAAATATAGAATACTAGCTTTTGCCTGCGACTCCGTACGCGTGGAATTAAAACAAATGAAAGGTGTAAGTAGCCTATGTGTTCTTCCTGACTAGCTCCTACGTCTATGTCAAATTTAATCGAGATCCGTTCAGCTGTTTAGGCTACAAACTCTAACAAACGTCCATCCATCCATCTAAACTTTCGCATTTATAATATTAGTTTATTTAAATATGATAAAATAACAAAACAAAAATAAAATGTGTGTGTTTTGTAGGCCTATTCCCTGCGCCCTGCGCCGCGCCGCCCCGCCTCAGCTGTCACTTCGCCTGCCTTGTTACTGTAGCAATGATTTTTTTGTATAATCTTTAAAACATTACAAATAGAACATGAAGATGTTTGTGTATTGATCGTTTGACAAGAAGTCATAATTGTTTAAGATCGAGTTGTATTCTACTGTGCTTGTAATTGTACCTTGTTGAAATACTGTACATTTGTCGATTTCAAACTTTACCTCCTGTAGACATCACTAGAAAAATCCTATTTATAGAATAGTGTTTAATTCCAAAAAAATACCATTAACAATTGTTAAATATTTTATTAAAGAAAGAGTGTATAAATTTAATAAACAATAGCAATTTTAACTATTATTATATTAATTATTGTTGGTCTAATGATGTTTAATTGGGTAAAGCACAAACATGAAAATGCGAGTCTCGCTCTCGCCCCTCCAGTGAGACATATTTAATATTATTATTTTCGTGTTGCACAATAAAAGTGATTAATCGGCGCCGGTCATCCATCATGGCGGCGACGCGCACGCACCTCGCGCTGCTGCGACCTGCGACCTGCGACCTGCCTGCAACCGACACAAACAAATATACAATACAGTTATTAATAACAATAAAACATAAAGGCAAAGAAACAATACAGAAATTAAATATATTTTTCAATGAAAAAGTATAATTAAACATTTATTTATTGAACAATTGATATTTTTTATTTCATACACTTCATTGCCCGATGTCCTTTATAATTAAACTAGCTGTTCCCGTATGACTTTATCCGCATAATACTATGAAAATTTTATTTTATTGTTTACATGTGTCAAATTATCAATTGCAAATGTCAAAATGACGATGGCACCACCATGGCAATCTTGCTTCCTTAATGTTGGCAGCAACTTATGGTCTCTTTCCCACATTAGGGTTTTTATTCAAAATATTTACCCCTAAGTTTAATGGCGTTAAAATATATAGCCTTAAACTTGATGTAAGTTTTGGGCTTTTGATTAAAAAAAGAACTATTCAAAAATATGCTGTAATTGCCGACATCTTTGGCAACAAAGAAGTGTGTTTACGCTTTATTATAATAGTGTAGACTCTTGGTTTACCAATCAGCTGATAGTTAACCATTAAGTTAACCATCTGTTTTATTAATAGTCCTAAAAGGTTTTCTCGTTATTACCTACTTTCGTACTAAGATGATACGAAATAGTTTCTGCTCGGTTTAAAAGCTCTATAAAATTTTTCCGCCGTTTCTAACATAATTGTTTACATATAAACATGTCATTACCTTTTCCTTTATTATGAATTTATTAAGAAGCTATACATTCTAAATGTATTCTCAAATTCAACATAAAACTGAAATACTCATGTGTTCTTAGTATAGTTTTGTCTGAGCCCTAAAGTTGTCTTTTTGTAATACAAACAAAGGTATAAAGACCAACTTTATAATATTTAGTTATTTGGCAGACAGGAATAAAGCGCCCTTGTTTACAGTTCAACCTCACTTTGTTCGGTGCGATAATATTTGTGGGGTTAAGAGGCCTACTCAGGATAAAGTCGCGGTGTGTTTCAGCGCGACTTGATATTATGGGACAGCCTACAATCCGGGCCGAGGGGAGAGAGGCGGGGGAAGGTTCACTAAGTTGTTTTCAGAACCAACACTCGCCACCTCGGGTTCTGCACCCCTGTCAGTTGTCGCCTGGTGCAAGTTACAAGCGGATTTGAAATATTTCTATGATCTATGAAACTCTTAAAACCGTTACTGGTGTATAGTGTAGGAACCAGGCGATCCGCCACAATAGTTATTTTGTAACTTTATAAATAAATCTTTTTAAATCTTAAATCTTAAAATCTCATTTCCTGATCTAGATAAACGGCACAGGTCCTGAAATATAGTAGTTAAATAAAGCTAGATATGTGCTTAAAGTATGTGTGATGGCACAACCTAGTTCCCTTTGCCGAAATATTTTCTACATTCAAATAAAAAATGTTTAACTAAGTAATTGATGTGAGTGTTGCTATTTGTTTTTACTTAGATATTATTATTGATTTACTACATAAAAGTAGGAAGTAATGAAACAAAGGATACCTCTCTAGTCTGTAACACAATAACTAACTATTTAACTACCGAAATTGATTCGCAGTGCACAATAACGCTGGATACTTATAACTTGTAGCATATAAAAAGCAGCCTTCAATTAAGCGATATTTGTGAAAGTGTACATAGAGTGCCGTGTTGCAGGGTTGGCGGGCTGCCGCGCTGCCGGGCGACAGATTCCCCGAGGCGGCCGTTCTCGCGGGAGCCCTCGCTTCCTCTTCCTGTTTGGACATCGGCTTTGTACTAATTACTTGTCGCTTATCGAACTCCATGTCGAATGAGGGCGAGTGTTTAATCGCAACTATTGCACTGAATCGAATTTCATTTATTGGGATTTGGTGCGAGAATTATTGATTATTGCATTTTTGGTTTGTTATATTTGTTAAATTCTTGTAACAAAGTCAAAGAGTTTCATGTTCAGACACCCATTAGCGTTATGTCCTTTACTATAAAGACAGATGGAAGAAGAAATTACAAAACGTAACTACAATGGAAATTTACATTAAAATTTTAAGTTGTAAAGTGTTTGTATAAATCTGTAACAAGCATTTTTAACGTACTTCCCAAAACAAGGAGGTTCTCAACTCGTTTGTATTTTTTAATTTATGAAAAGAGGTTGGTTCATATTATTCTCCGTGACAGGGATGATAATGAAACGATATTGCATTCGATTCGAAAAGTTTATTAAAATGGAAGTGAGTGAGATGGCGGAGACAGCTTGAAGCGGGGATGGTGGCGGGGGTGAGGTCCGAAAGCTGCCCCAGTGGCACAGAGCCCGGGGCGCATGGCGCGGGGCGTGTGGCAGCGCGGCGGGGAAGGGGCCCTACAACCGATTGCCGTTTTATTTGGCATGAAGCGACTTCACACACCCCATATCCCATTCGAAACTTTATGAACTTATTTCCATTATATGCTTTGCATAATTACTTGTGTAAAATTGTTGTATTAAAAATGGAAGAAGATGACAGTTAGATGTGATTTACCCGCAAGTTCAGTACCGGGAAGGCGCACAAAGTGCGTCCGCTGGGGCAATTCCACTGCCATTTCTACGAGTAATTTATAATTAATTACGAACAAACAGACAAGCTGCGAGCTACGTAGTACGAACAAATTAAACCTTTATCTATGATCTATCACAAAAACACTTTTCCACCGCAGCGTATATCTGAATTGGTGCATTAAGGAGCTATGCTTCATAATTCGCGGTATAAAATAGTTGTTTATTTAATTTATAGACGTAATAAAGTATTTCCACGGCTGAAATGACTAAAAGTGGTGTTTATGGCGCAATAATGCCATATTCGATGTAAAGAAGTGTGAACGATGTTGTTAAAATGTATTATTATGATAAGTTATGTAGATTCGGAGGCGTCGGGCGATTTATGGCTGAAACGGGGACGAAAAAGTAGCGAAGGCCGCCTCAGCCCGCAGCTGGGCTATCGAACTTGTTATGTTTATCGTCACTGCTAATAGTCCATTGTCACACATCTCTAGTGTCAAGTAATAAGGTGGACAGTGACCGGCATGTTTGTACAAACAGCTTTCGTTTTAATCACTTATGTTACAATTGCCAAAGCTTAGATGGCTGGATGAATAAATGTTTGTTAGAGTTGGTAGCCTAAATGGCTGAACGGATTTCGATGAAATTTGGTACAGATGCAAAGGATAGTCTGGACACTTTGCTTTCTTTTCTTCCACGCGGACGCGAGCCACGGGAAAAAGCTAGTATTTGATAAATAGTAAACGATTTTTTATTGTGACATGTGGTAAATACTATTCATAAACTTGTCTATTTGTAACCACAATAACTAATGGGTAGAAAGGATCTGTTTAATTATTCTTCATAATTATTTTTAATGTAACATTTTAAATATTGATTTCTACTATTTATCTAGTATGTAACTAAATGAATATGCTATTGTTATTTTAGTAATTAAAAGGAAGATGTTATAATTATATAATTTATCCATCGTAAACATTCCCTTAGTTTTTTCAAATATACATCTATTTAAGTATGTTTTCAACACCAACACCAGACGTGTCAATTGGTAGCGTGACTATCACGTTGCAGTCAATAACAATTGTCACAATGCTGTTTTTACAATTCATTTTAACGTATAAGGTAACTAGATTGGTTATTAACATTTTACATATAGGGGATATAACAAATTAGCTGCCGGCTTATTAAGTTATAATTGTAACGCAAAAGGAGCAGTGTGCATCTACTCTCGTCCCTGCACTCAGCCGCACTCACCCGCACATCGCACAGCGGCGCGCGACCTTTGCGCATAAAATTCCGCACTAAAATATGTTCAAGTTGCTTTAAGTAAAACCTTTACGGTTACAGCAACGTGTTCCCTATTTAAATAATTCGCACTTTACCGTCTAACACTATGTCAGAATTAATTGTAGTGGTTTTATCTAGATGGACTCCAAAGTAGTTTTTCTGTATAACAAGAAGGGCCTAAAAGCTTCCAAAAATATATGAATTGAACTGATTGCTTATTTGACAGTTTTAATGGCGTTTGGAGGAGCCTGACGAGTAACAGTGGATACCTTGACTAAAATAATAACAAATGTAACTGTGTCGGCTGGCGTGTCAACGTGAGTGGTGACAATTTTTGTCCAATCTCGTGTATTTCCGGCGCCGGGCGCGCTTCCGTCGCGGCGGAAACTAACCTCCAATGCTCGCGCCTCGCCACCCTCAGCCAGTTATATTGTAAACTGATATATTACTGATTTTAATGCATTGTGAATTCCACAGTAGAGTTTGTACAGTACTGTTCCCTTACACAGCCATAGTAAAACGGTGCAATTTAAAATACTTAAGTTTAATAAAGTTCATATTATTTGTCTGTGAGACACGTGCACAACTTGCCTCTTCCCAGATGAAATAAAGGTGGCGAGACTTCAGTGAGTACATCTCTGTAACCGCCGGCTGAGATCGGCTCCTTGACGATGACATCGGTCTTCAGCGGTTACATGAAATACTAACTTTATTAAAAGTAAAATATTATATTGTTAGTGCATCTTCATTATTTAAGTTTTCGAAATTAAGCATTATGAAGTATTCAATTTACCTTCCAGTTCTATAGTACCTACGCCAAAATAAAGTAAACAAAGCAATCTAATACTCAATACCAAAGTAATCAACATTTCAGTACAAATGAGGAGGTATCAGGTCCAGTACTCGGCGAACTCGAAAACAAAATTGAAACTTCATAACTGAATAACCATCAATTCTCGTCCAATACACCGGCAGCGAGGTTAGCAAATCGAATCAATACAACGTGAGATGTGCGAGCGGCGAGGGGCTCCCCGGGGACGTCGCGGGGACGTCGCGGGGACGTCGCGGGGACGTCGCGGGGACGCTGCGGGGACACCCCGGGGAGGCCGCGCCGCGCTCCGACCCCTGTTATTGTTTCAATCTCTCGCCGCAAAGTTTCGTTGCGGGCGCGAATTGAAAAACTTCCAACTTACCTGTTCTTGAAAATCGATTACCTTTTTGTTGGGCCGCCGATTCGCTGAAATCGAGTTTTTGCACAATTTTATATCGTCTTTTATTAATACAGTGTAGCTATTAGGCATTTATCGAGCCACAGTTTTGTCTTAGGAGAATCGAGTTTACGTCCATATGTTAAAGTTCTGCCTTTCAACTGCAGCACCGCGAGATAGCGAGGTAAAATTATTGATAAAAAAGGGCAATTCATATCAATTAAAAAAGGACAAGAGCCATTAAAAAAGACACATAAAGTCGGGCACCTTTCACGAGCACATTAGTAGAGGACGGGCGACAGCTCGAGGGAGACGAAGTCGGTTTACAGAACAAAAAGAGGCGAGCCATTATACGGAAGCACTCAGCGAGCCCCTCATTATATCGTTGAGCGCCCCGCGCGCGCCCACCCAGCACACCCCGCGCCCAGAGAGGTTTCGCGGCTAGGCGCTGCGTGCTCGAGACGTGGTCACGGAGAAAAAACTCTCCCACGCCATCTACTGGAATCAGGACAGGCGAAGATAAACATCATCATGCACGTATAATTTTCCAAATTGAAAAGCTTGTTAGCAACAAGATTTTACGAATTCAAAAACCACTTTTTTTTCAAGTGTATTCAAAAGAAAGTTGTTATATGCGTACACATGAATTATTACACCGTTAAATACTTCTATAACTCTGGATTAGTTCGCAATACTTCTAGGTGTTGCTGTGTTCTATTATAAATTGGTACTGGAGTAAGTTTTAGAAATCTCAAAAGGTTTTTTTGTTCTTTATCAACAAATCAGCATCGTCACACTCAGTCGTTAGACTTGGTTCATATTTCCGTGTAGAAAGCATCATTCTGCGATGCTATCAGCAACATGGACACGCGACGCGGCGTTCTAAATACACATAAATTAAATATTGATGTGCAAACAACTAAAAATTACAATCAAGGGGTGTGTAGTATCATTACTATTAAGAAAATCATAACTAACACGTTCCGACAATGTTTGTAGAAAAACAATATCGTGTGTTATTTAACCAGTTGGGGTTTAGTAATTGGCGTCTGGGCTGGGTCTATGGAGGTTAGGTTAAGTTATCAATTTTACATTTTTTGATTGTTTAAGGAGGAAAGAGGGCTCTAACCTCTGAACTAATTTTTACCTTACCTTAGTGGCGACTCATGGGGTATTATTATTCTATGAGTACGTGTTACCCTATGTGTCATAAATAGACAGACATTAAGAGACACGTTAGCACTAAGTAGAGGCCGACGTACGCAGAGACGGCGTCATAACAGGCTTTATCACTTTACTTATCGAGTTCCAGCCTCTCGTTAGCCTCCAGTTAGCCGCGAACTTAACTCGGCTTGCGCTAACGCTCACCTGCTGTATAACCAGCCGTCAATTACTTTAAAACAAACTGTTATATTACGTTGTAGCTCACATTTCAATCAATAGTTGAACTCACGTCTTTAATAATATTAATTATTTCACGAATTATTTAATTTTTGTCTGTAATGACAAAAATTAAATAATTCGTGAATTTTTGTCGTTTGATTTCGTTAATTTTTGTCTGTAATGACAAAAATTAACGGGCTTTATTGTTTATCCAAAATTTGTGTACAGTAAGTGATTCAATCGACTTTCAACAATATTACCAAAGATGTAAATTCACAAAACACTTAAATTTAGCAAAGATATTTACACTCCAACATTATCCAGTGACTCCGTAATTGACCAAATATTGAAAAAAAGCATACTTAATAACTAATTTCACAATTTATCGACATCTATCCACAAAGATTTTATGAACCATAAGCAAATAGCTTTGGAACGTGAGACAAAAACGAATAAAGCGACAACATCATGCACTATAAGACTAAGGCACATCACTTTTATCGACACAATAATTGTCGATATGTTATTTAATGGGGGGTGACTAGTGCAGCGCCTATCGCTAGTGTTGTGTGAAAGCGTGTTATTTCACAGGTAAGGTAGGCGCTTTAGATGTAATTGGAGTGTTTATCGGAAGTGCGCGGGTTATCGCGGACACATCACTAAATGATGACTTTCGGATTACATTTGCGTCGAAACATGACGCCCGCCGATAGCGCGATACACACGGCCCCTGCGACTGGCTAGCACTCTTCGACATAACACCAACCTTTTTTATATTGTTAAATGCATGCTACAAGCACGTCACTTTTACTGCCTTTGCTGTTGATTTTCCTAGATAGTACACTTAACTGCAATCACTGTGCCTGGGTCTCAATAAAGCAGAGTACGCTCCATTGATTGTTTGTGCCCAAGCAAGTCAACATCTCTTAACTAAATTTAATTTTCAGTAATAAAATTAGTCCAACAAGGAAGTTAATTACATGTATTGTGTTAAGAACGTGGAATTCACACTGTACCTATGTATTACAAGAATATTTACAGCGGCGCTGGCCTGCCACGGCGGCCGTGTGTGTCGCGCGGGGAGCGCGTGTTGTTCAGTACAAACCGAGCGCACATATCATTAATCACACAGTTTTTTTGTGTGTAAATGCGATTTTTATTGTTCGTGCGCGACTCGTGAGTCCATTTGTGTTAATGAGAGCCGCGGCCGCAAGGTGGCCTTTTGGATTAATTCAATGTCATTTCATAATAAAGTTTGTAATCAGTCTCCCTCGTGTTTTTTGCCGCTCGCCCCTTCACAAAAGGCACCAAGCTTTTTTGTGCCGAAGTGAAAAAGCGCGCGAAACCGTCGGCCTCTCGCGCCGCACCTCGCGTTGCTCTCTTTTAGGTTTAATCTCGGCTTTGAGTGGAGCTGAGGCGTCGCTGGCGCGGCTCAGGCAATGTCGATGTTCAATAGAGGATCTTCTCTCCCTTCAGTGATCTCGTATAAAATTTATTGACATTTTGCTGCTCGCATTCATCACCGTATATGCAATATGTTTAGAAAATGTTCTTCAATTACTACTTAGGTACTTTTCTATGACTGGCATGAACACTATCATGCGGTGTCAACATATTTCATCGCAATAACACATAAGACTTACATTTCAAGTCCTTGTTATAAAAGACGGCGATATCAATGTAATAATTGCTTACCTTTGAACTTGTTTTATATTTGTTATTATTAGGAAAATATTTCCTAACACTGGTATTCAACTTGCAAAGGTTATAATTATGCTCTGTCTGAAGCTGGAGCCAAAAAATAATTTAATTGATATTAGAATGACATTGTCTAAGTGTGTTTTTTATTTTATAATTACAGATATGACAAGTTGACGTGACATGACAGTTGTGCCGCGGCCCAGTGCGATGTGTGACAGGGCGCGTGACGCGGGCGCCGCTCCGGCCGCCGCGACATGTCAATTACGAGGCGCCTCACCGGATTCCCGAGAAGGATTAAGTAGGCTATTAAGCGAAAGATTGAAGCTGTCGAAATTCCGTGGTGCAGCGGTGCGGGGTGCGGGGTGCGGGGTGCGCGGGGCCTGTGTTGGCAGCATTAGCGAGCGGTAATGAGGCGGGCGGTCGCCGGGCCGGCGCCTCGCCTACAATTCTGCCGAATCATCGTCGCCGGCGCCGGCCCACTGCTCAACGCGCCGTAGACAAACTGAGCCTTGAAGCAGGTCCCCCCTCGCACCCCTCACTACTTCTACGTCTCAAAACTTCACAGGTTCTGAAACATTAAAATATTATTATCTTAAAATTCACCATCAAAATATAAACTCATTTTAAGATGAAATCCAAAATACATGTGTACCTACATACAACTTTGCAGCGATTTCCTTTGACCATCACTAGCGCGGTGGATTCCCGCCAAGTCTGACAGCGTTGTATTGTGGTTTCTTAGGTCAGATAACATCTGCGTGTATTCGCGTCTGTCTGTCTGTCCGTCCCGCTCGCCGGCTGACCGTCTTCACGCAGCGTGAAGCTATCGATTGATACCAATTGAGACGTTTGATTGAAATCTGTACCTGTATCAAACTGGATTACTTTATTTGTGTTCTGTCAGTGTGCGGGGGCGGGGGAGGGGGGGGGCATCAGACCTCTGTTATTAAGACGTCCGTTTGTCTCGAAATTAACGTATGCATTGCCTTGTATAAATAATAATTAAGTACTAATTATAGGTACTTCAACATTTTAATGTATTAAACTATGTTGGAAAAATAAATTGTGTTTTTATTGACGAGTTTGAATTTATGCATATAACGTTCATCACAAAAACGAGATTCTTGGCAGTGATGTGTTAAGCAAGTCATAGCGGCGCGCAGGATTCCTAAAGCTTACAGTTACTTAGCAGAGAAAGCTGTGATTATTGTCTTTAATTACATCTCTTGAATAATTTCTTTCTCCCTTTCTGTATTCGTATAAACTATCAATGTAATAAAATTATCTTTTATAATATACATGTTCAACATATAGCAGTATATTAAGTACAGCTTAGTATATAGTGACGTCATACAGATCCGCCTGTGACACCGAACTGTCGAGCGGCCGGGAGATTGTGAATGTCGGCAAATACAGATCGAACGATAGCACATTAAAAACCGAGCTCTCGCTGCGGCCGTCTCTCACACCGCACTAATTTAAGTATACGGTCATGGTTTAGTTGAAAGATTAAACAGGAATTAGAAAAGGCTGTCAATGGCTGTAAATAAGAGTTAGAAGGTGAGCATCCAATTCGCTTTGACAGATTAGTAGCACATTTCTTAATTATCGGCACCCTTTAAACATATCATATAGTGTTATAAAATGTTCTCGAAAAATTTGGCTTTACTTAAGTCAGCTGTTGTAATGGAGTACGAAATTTTCGATCGATTAAAGATGCTGCGGTGATTGCTGGCGGCGGCGGCGGCAATGTGCGCGGCCATGTTGGCGGGCTATCGGCTGGCGCGCTGTTGCCGCTCGCGACACTTTAAATGGAGAAACGAGTTTTTACGCGACACATTCCGGCCGCTTTAAGATCCGCCGAAGATAAATTAATTTAATAATACTAAGTGACTCGTTAGAATACTAATTTAGTGTCGTGATCTGGTGAGTAAATGCAGATAGGAAGCTCAAAATAAACCAAGATATCAGGCATTGTACCTTGTAGACATGAACAGATGGTATCGATACTGATTTTCAACAAGCTTAACAACAAGATTTTGATTGTGTGGAATATAAAAAGCGTGAATAAATGACATCTGATTTGCTATAAATAACGGTAGTTAATGAAATCACAACAAAGGTTCTTGCAGAGCAAACCGCACGAGGATTGTCACATATTTATATCGAAACAGCGTGTAGTAGGTCTATACTCCGGTAGGTTTTGTGACTGCTACTAAGTTTAGTGTGTAAAGACCAGAGTGGAGTTCTCCTTGTTATCTACACCCTCAGCTGGTGAGTGGAATTGGCCAGCAGTGCGATGCTGCGAGATGTCAGTGCGCAAACCGCTGCGTCATCGCGCCGCACCGCGCCGCGCCGCACCGCACCGCGCCGCGCCGCCGCCTCCACAAAAAACCAGTATATCTGTAACACGATCTCCCGATGTACAACTCACAATACAAACAAAGCTATGTTGATTGAAACGTCAAAGCGGACGACTCGAGCGCTCCATTGTACTTATTAACCTCGTAATTACGGGCCCCATGTTACTATTTATTTTGAATCCTCCGAATTTATAATCGAGACGCGGGTAAAAAAGCCGATGGTGCGCCGATGAGCGGCGATGAGTCGGGACTTTTGCCGGCCAATATTTTAATATAGATTTCCATATGAAGTCGTATCGGTGATGTTGAAAAAAATCTGTTTGTTTTTTCTCATCGAATTAATCATTCGATACAGGTTGTTGTGTTTAATAGAATGTTTTGGACGTTGGAAAAAATTAATAGAATCGGTTGGCGTCTGTTGCGTGTTTCCATTGTTATAATTAAAGGGATGATGTTGGAAATACATCTTACTTTGTGCAGACATGTCGAAGGTTGATATTCTACTCAGCATCGCTTATAACTGTCCTGCTGTACGCATTAAGTTTTATAAAGTAACGAGTGTCATACTGTGACTCAACATTAATTTCATGTTACCCTTTCTACTGTTAAGTAGAAAACTTTCAGTGGACACTTAGTTAAATAATGAAGAAAAAAGCTGGCAATTTATGCGTAAATTTATTTCATATAGCTAGAGTTTTACCTATTCAATGTTATCAATTCATAAACATCCACAACAAACAGAAGAAGAGCAGTTGTAGCAGTTATCAAAGTTTTAGTTATACAAATAACCCAGCAATGTAACAGCAACAGCCAGCTGACAGTGCAAGTGCAGCAATAGGGCAAATATAATATTTACATGAAACACCTGACACTGTTGTGCCACAAGTTGTTATAAAAACATCGGCCGTTAGGAATTACAATCTAATGACCGCTTCGATTCCCGGCAAACGGAATAACATTAAAAAGCGGACGCGTTTAATTCTTTAGTGGGCACATGTGGTCGGTGACTTGCGGAATTTCGCCACAACCACTCTGCGCGCTGCTAGCCGTGCTCGTGGGATAACCACGTCTGGACAAACAAAACTCTGGGAACGAGTTACAATTATACTCATAGTAAAAAGTATTACAGCGCTGCTATCCCCTAATATGTTAACATCAATTTGCCGAATAGAGTTTTTACGGCAGCGTATTTGAACGGATTTGGTATAATTACTTATTTTGCATCCACTTTTGGAGTCAGAGGAAATTTGAACATTATGTTAAGGTTATTTATGAGTTAAGTATAACAGTTAATTGAAACAACTGATTATTCGACTGTGTTAATTCGCGGAAGAATAATTCAGGAAAAACTAATAATTTATTGTTACATACTAGTGACTATGAACAAACCTTTCAAGAATTGCTTCAAATGTTTTACTTTAAAAGTATTTATGATTTGAATACCATTCACACAGTATTTTTTATCCAACATGTAATATTTCATATCTTTTATAACTGCGACATGATACAAAAGGTTAAAAAGTTCAGCCTTTATCTTTTGGAAGGCATATCCTAATTACTTTTTGTTCGCGGCACAAAGAGATATCCTTCTCATAATGTTCTTGTTGCACAAACTTTGTGTCTGCACACGACGGGGGACGTGGTCGGAAAAAATCTTAAGTGATTATTCAGCAAGAAGCCGACAATGCGAGCGGCAGCGGTAACTGCGCATTGCTATGAGAAAACATCTCTCAAACGTCTTATTACTTATTGTAGCTCAAGCCTTTACAATCGAGACACTTGTAACATCGAAGGACTTCGACTGCGGATGTTTTCCATTCAGATGCGGTCTGCCTCAACTCCGCACAAGTGGTATCATCTACGCTCCGATACTCGCACACAATGTGATCAAAAGCATTGCTCGATATTAACAAAAAAGTAACATATTCAAGTACTTTGTAAATACTATGTTCTTTTTAAATAACATTCTAGTGAAGACTACTTTTTGTATATGAATGAAACAATTTCTTATGTAACAGAAAACCTAAATTTTCCCAAGACTTACCTACACATAGAATGTTTTAGTTTTCTGCAGTGGGCAGCCTGTCGCCATCGGGCTGGGTCAAATTCACTTTCATTTTAACTATTATTTTTAAATAAGAAATAACAGATGAATGAGAGCTTTCAATAGGCTTTAAAGTTCAAATCGTTAACTTACAAATTAAACTATAAAGTAAACACGAGGCAATCCAGCAAAAATTAACAGGGTATTAGTAATGCGGTGCGACGTGCGACCCCGGGCCCCAGTTGCTCAGTTGCCGGAGCGCAGCGGGCCCGGGTATGATTCGAGGCTCACATTTCTTGCCAAACGCGAATTTGCGCTACACCAATCTTTTGTTGTTAAACCATGCGTTAGCCTTTATGCTTGTTTTCAATTTGCCTTTTTGTAGTTTTAAACTTTAATAATGGGTAACTACTCTGATAAGTTAAAAAGACATGCAATAAATCCAGCGAAAGGTATTGTTTGTTAACACAACATTGACAAACTGATTAATTGAGAACACGCACTCCCTCAGAGAGATTTAAAGAAAAAGGCGCCATAGTGTCACAAGTAATGTTTATATTTGTTTTGGTTTACAGTTTTAATGTTGTTCGTGGCGCGCTGCGAGCTTCTCAAAATAAACGAGTTTAATCTCCCAGCAGAGATGTGAACAGATAAATACAAATGAAAAGACCAACAAAGTGTTTTATAAAGGGATTTGTAATCTCCAAACAGAGCTGCTCCGCTGACACAAGCGTAATCTCCAGCTTCAATTAACATCAACATAGGGGACATTCCGCCTCATTGAACATCCCGCCCCCGCACCACAGCGCCCCCACCCCCGCGCACACACAAATTAAAATAAATGACAGGCGCTATCTGGTGCTGCGACCAATCACGTCAGCCGGCCAAGTGTTGCCAGTTTAAAAAATTAAAAGACAATTTGTGGGGCGTCGCGCCGCGTCTCAATCTGTCAGAGTAAACATCACTGTTTGTGTTTGGGCTCCCGGCGCCCTACTCCCTGCGCCCTGCGCCTAGCGCTCAGTGCTTGCTCGTTTAATTAGTTTGTCTAACACTGCGGCCGAGCGCGCGAGTAACGGCGTTTGAATTTAGTCCTTACTTACAAGGGGGAAGACTGAATTAAAACATCCATACAACTTTCCTGTAGGGGTAAATTGTGCAAGTCTTTTGTTCAAGTTTATTGGAAGTAATTAAGCTTAAAATTCGCTAAATCTGTTTGTAGATCCGCATCGTAACATAAATAACCTCATAAGTGAAAAGTAGCAGTCATAATGCAACTTGCATATATCTGTGTAGAAATGAAAAAAGATGTGTGAAGTCAACCAGCAGTGGGCCAGCGTGATTAACTATGGTTTAGTTAGTCACCCTTAACTCAGGATAGACGCCAAGCATCTCGATGAATCCGTATATTGAGCTAATACGTAGAATAGTACAGTTAAATTATGCTTAACCATCGATAGAAGTGAGTGCTACAACATGAATATTGACGTCAC